CCGGCAGCCTGACGCGCTGGCTCGTGCTGGCCGTGGCCGCCGTGTCGTGCCTCTTCCTCGCCTTCCTGCTGCTGCTGCTGGCGCTGCGCCTTCGGCGCTGGCGGCGCGAGCAGCTGCTGGCGGCGAGCAGCGGCGCCTTGCGCGGCGTGCCGGTCTCGCACTTCGYGGGCATCGACGGCGTGCGCGCCTTCCTGCAGTCCTACTCGCACGAGGTGTCTCTCACGGCCGACTCTCGCAAGAGCCAGCTGCGCTTCTCGGGCGCCAGCTGCTGCGACACGCTCCCGGCCCGGCCGCTTCCCGACGAGCCCGCGCCGCTGCTCGGGGACGAGAGCTCTGCCGGTGCTCCACTCGCGGATCCTGCCGCTCCTTCGGTGAGTTTCTCTAGCCAGATTTYTTCGCGAAACCTTCTCCTGATAATTTCCTGACCTTTGCAGAGCGCGTTTTCTCGCTTTCATAGGAGGTTTTGCATGGAAGGAAGCCAAAACTTCATTGATTGACGTTCTGAAATCTGGTGCGTCTTACAGTAGGTAGACAGATGAGTGGATGGTGCTTAGCCTTCCTAGTTAGTGGAGGATGCAGGAGAAGGAAGGCTGCTTCTGGCAGGTGGTTTCTTAGGTCAGAGGTTTCAGTATTTTGGGGTATTTATCAGGTTCTAAATGTTTTCTCCTCTCTCTTACCTGTGTTGTGTGCAGTCTGTGTTTCTGATAGTATTATTTCTTCTGAAGTGATATATTRTGTTGTTAAGAAATGGAATTTTTCGTTATTAGCAGSCTCAAGTGTGTTCAGAAGAGCCCATGTATTTGGATAGGTTAAGTGTGTCTCAAACCAAACGATGATAGCTTCATGTGCAACTTCTCTGCAGGTTGTGCTCAATCTKTATTGTTCTCTCTGCTACATAGTGGAGGTCAACAGGAAAAATCTTGGTGTCTTCCATGCTTTGAACTTTGTCCCCAGTAGAGGATTGCGCCAGGCAAGAACTGGTCCTTGATGATGACTGTCTGCCTGTTATAAAGATGAAAGTTCTATGGTTTAATACTTCGTGGTTTGGACTCACATGGCCTAATTTTGGGTTTCACATTCTTTTGCAYTGAGATGGTAGTCACACATCTTGTGAAGAGTCCATGTGCTKAARAATGGTGATGTTGTCTTTCAGTKGTAGTCTGATGTTTGGGTCTTTGCCAGAGCTGGTAATAATTTATGGTGTATCTAACATTTGACCTTTATTCAAATTATTGGGAGGAATAGAATTGTCTTTGTTATGATGCTTGGGATCTGAGGAGCTTTGCACAAATCTTTTCTTCTGATGATATCTCTATGCTAAGTTTTCTTTCCTGTTGTATTTGCACAGAGAGAATTCTTTCTATCCAGAGACAGAGTTGGTGCTGGAGCTCACTGTGGTATAGTTTGAAATGGTTGAATGAATTGTGTGAAGTTCTATTTGTYCTAGTATTTAGATAAGGCCCACAGCTGTGATTCCAAATCTTTCCTTATCTTACTATCCAAGGAAATGTCTGGGACATTTACAAATGTTGTAAGCTCCTGTGTGAGCCTCCTGTGTGCTAGTTACAGTCTAATTTTCTTCGTTATGCACATAATAAAGTTGACAGAATCGCAATGTGATGCCATGATTGATACTCTTCTGGTGGCTTCCCATTTTTGTCTTGGTTGATTAAGTTGTTTTGGATGATTGGTTTGGTTTGGGTTGGATTTTTTGTTTGTTTGCTTTCTTTCTTTTTTTTCTTGTCAAGGAGTAAAGTTGTTCCCCATTGTGCCCGGTAATGCTGCAAAGTCCAAAACTTATTATCCAGCAGAGAGWGTATTTATTATCCATACCTAGCTGTATTTTGCTGCACAATCAGAGAATAGTTAGGGTTGGAAAGGACCTTAAAGATCATCTCATTCCTACTGCTCTGCTGTCAGCTGGGACACCTTCCACCAGAACATGTTCCTCAGAGCCCCATCCAGTCATACCTTGAACATTTCGTTAAAGATACACAACTTCATAAATATATGTTTCCCCAAGATGTTTTCTCTGTGGCTGACATAYAACCAAAATTTTGATCTATGTTGATGTTGAAACTAAAGACTGTGCATGCAGAGTGAGGAGGCTGAGAGCTCACTTTTGTGCCAAGAAATTGGTGGATCAACGGGGATTTGGCTGGGAAATGGTTTGMTTTTATGCTTGGTGCCAAAGCCAGTGSCATCATGTYCTGATCCTGGTTTGTCTGTCATGAAAGACAGTGTAGGTCCTCCAACAATAAAGTYTCCCATAGCAATGATTCATGTAGAACAATGATTCATGTAGAATGATAATTCATAGATAAAGCAGGTTATTAATCCTGTGTGAAACCTGCAGTATCCATCTTCATCTCTGTGTAACATTGAGATGTAGAGGTTTTTCACAGTTGGAATKACACTTTCATTCTTTCATTCAGGTCTCTGTTTCTAGGAAGCGTGCAGTTCATTTTCAATGTTCATGTCAGTATTTATGAATTTGAAACAGTGACTGCTGCTTTCCAACGCATCCTTACTTCAGCCACCATGGACAGAATTGTGTGTGTGAGGAATTGGAAGCAAAAGAAATCATAGGATCTGTTGTAATTTGTCAGAAAATTGACCTTGAGGAAGAGGCCAGCTAGAAGTTGCTTAAAATGATGGTTTCATAATTGTGCAAGGTGAACAGGCCACAAGTAGAAAAAGCTTGCTGAGGTGAGAACTAATCCTTCAAATGACCCTGCCTATCCTGGAGTCCAAACCAAGTCCTTAAGTGCACATGTGCAGCTTGAGGCCTCAATGACTTCCAGGTGCKCTCAGGGATGAGTTTCAAGGCCTGCAGTAAAGGCCTAGAAGACTTGCTGGTGCTCATCTCTGACAACCTGTTGTCTT